GGAACCTCAGCCTTAGTGGAACGGTGGCTAAGACAGGTATGTCTTCTTGTTTTACCATATACTAGACTTACAATCTGATATGGAGATTCAGTGGCAGGACCATGGGCTCAAAGAGGGTCATGGGGACTGGATAGATGGAAGGAGCTACAGTCAAGGGAAGGACGGCTGGGGCAGCTGTGGGAAGAGGCCCAGAAAGAAGGGGATGGAGGGCTGCTGGGCTGTGCAAGGAAGGCTCAGCGGTACTGCTGTTGGTGGAGGAAGTCCTCCCTCAGCATCCATCCCTGGGAGAGGGCCTTCCTCTCCTCCTCCACTCCACTGTGGTTCAGGTCACCTACACCCTTAGAGCTCACCGTCGTTCTCCCTCTCTCTGTGCCCACTCATCCCCTGCCATCCCAACAACCTCTCCTACTCCTCACTCTGGGAGCGAAGCAGCCTGCAAGAGGGGAAGGGCTGGTGCCAGGCCTGGGAGCGAGCACAGCAGGAGTACTGTGGAGAAAAGCTTCCTCTTCCTCTTGCCATCCCCTTGTAACAGTAACTACTGACCCCACATTCATCTTCCTCGCAGTCACATAGAGCTATTCAGGGAAAAGATAAGTTAATCTATTTGGGCAACAACAGTTGATCCCTGTATCTTCTGGCAAAGGGTAAATAAGAAATCTTAAGATTCTTATCTTATAACTAAGATTCTCTTAGTAATCTCTCTCCACAGGCTATGACCTGCCATCATTAAATAGCCCCTAATTAGTCAACTGATCCTCTCTTGCTTGGCCAACAAAATTTGGGGTCATTGCTGCGTGCTCTGGCAAACACAAACTGGATCTCTAAGGAAAGATGATGGTGCAAACAGTCCCATCTACAGGCCTGAGCAGACAAGGGAGTGCAACAGCCGGTTCAGCTAACAATGGTAAACTGAACTGCCCATCTTCTTCATCTGGCTAACCTTATTACACAGTAGTAAGATCCACAAAGTGAGGTGCTAACTCCTTGGCAGGGTTACTTTGAGGAGACCCACACCCATTCTGCTCTGCCTTCACCAAGAGAACCAGGTCTGAGGTAAAACACAGACAACTCCCTCAACTGAGGCATGAAACATAGCAAATAAAGGGAGTATTGCCCTGTTTTAGTCAAGTGCTTCACCTCTCCAGCCACTCCTGTTATCCACAGAAAAGGGATAAAAACAGCAGCCATCAACAGTCAGACATTGTGGGAGTCACATGGAACTTCGTCCTTATTCTCATCAGTGCTACTCAGCCTTGGGATCCTGACTTCAGCTCTCAGTCCCCTTTTGTGAAAATGTCCTTACCCAACAAATCACCTCTACTAAAATATTACATTCTAATGAAATAAGGGGAAAGACCCTGAGATCTGCAGCTCTAGTGCACTAATATTGAATGTGTTTTTCACATATACTGAACAATTCACAGAAAGACTAGTGTTCGTGTTGTCTTAATCATTCATACATGTCATGAGTACCCATTAAAACAATTTTTGTTCTACACATAAATAGAAATGAATTCAGATTAATTGATTGCCCAAGTCTCTGACTTGAAGTTTGAATTTCATAATTGCATTTGACATTCTGAATTTAAAAAAATGAAAAATGAGACCTAAACAGTCTTATAATTAATGTTATTTTCACGCACTTATACTTACGACAAAGGGAGACTGCCTTTCCTACTGAGATAGTGCATCTATCTTCTATTTCCGATACAGAACTTAAATGAACCCTTCCCATCTAAATAATTGTTTCAGTGGGAAAAGAAACAGGGGAATTTACTCAACATTACATCAAATCAGTGCTTGCAGGTTTGTTTTTTGCTGTTTTTAAAATGGGTCCAAGCTCCACACTGACTGTAAAATCACAGTGTGTGCACTCATTTTCTTTATTTAGCACATAGCATACCAAGTAAAAAATATGCATGTTAGATCTACCAAAACAGTGTGTAGACTGGCCCTCCAAGGTGTGTAACAGATGCTGAAGTCAGTAGCTTCTGAAAGAATGAAAACAGTGTTTTAAATTGCAACAGCAGCAATTTTTGCATGACTGCTCTTTCATACACTCAAAACAGGGAAATTTTAAAGAAAAAACACATCCAACTAGCAAGGTTTAGTACCAAATACTTTAGGTATCCGCTAAAGTCCTTATACATTAATTACTGATCCACCTACTCACATCATCATGCGAGAGGCAGTACGTTACAGTTTCACGCTTCTTCTCCTTCTATGATCTCCTACTAAATGGATTAACTTCACTAATGCACTGCTACCTCAAAAAATGGAACATAATCTGTGACCTATCCCTGCCAAAAATTTAGCTTGTTATTTTCCACTCTCATTTTTGCAATGCACTTCATGGTTAACTCTCCAACTATAAAAACTGCATTTAAGATGGAAATTATTACTTTTAATAGCTTTTTTGGGGGAAAAAACCCACATTGGTAAAACAGTTTCACTATCCATTTGATCATCCAGCCTAACCCACACCCACTGTAGAAGAGAGATTTAGTTTAGCTTCCTTTCCCTCTGATGCTCTTCAAGTTAA